TGGGGGGAAAAAGTCATCTGGTCATAAAATACAGTACAAGGTCACTTTTATGTAAGTTTGCCAAAAGGGACATAAACCAGGACAATTTCAAACTGTGACACAGGATAGAAACATATTAAAAAAATCTTTGTTCCTCCTCTATTGTGCTGTCATGTTGCTCAGCTTTATAGACATTCCAAGCACCAGCACAGAACTCTTCGCTTCCACCTGGTCAGTCCAATTAATTAAGAAAGGAAGTTACCTAAAATTTTGTACTTTTTGCTTTTATTATCAAGCACTTTGTTTGAAGTTACAGGAGTTAACCTCTTAATCCTACAGACCGTGTGCTATGCTCTGGCCATTCAGGGATGTCTGGATGGTTTGGATAATTGGTCAGGATGTTGCTTATGTTACATTTTATGCTATGACTTCAAATCAAAGATAGGCATTAAAGTGAAGTACGACAGAAATTTACTCCCAGGAAAATCTTGGGTTTATGAATTAATCTGTCATAAAATTTACGTAACAATCATATGGAGATATTTTCTCCCACTTTCATTAAGTCATTGAATTTTTTTTCCTCCTAACATTTTAATTCAAAATAAGATGCTAAGATATAATGTGAAACAAATATATTCCTAACTACCATTTAAACACTGGCCAGAGGTTATACCTCCAAGAGTTCATTACAAAATCAGAAAATATCTCTGATATTAATACAGACAACCTGGAGGTCTTTTCTGGAGTGGAGGAGGGAGACAAGCCATACAGTCGAACTGAGGTACGGTAAGTACGGCAGTAATGTCTGCCCTAAGATGTTCCCTGAGCCCTAAGATCCACATACTGCAGAAAAAGTAGGTTTACTACAAAACAAAACAAAAATCACCAAACGGAACCTTTTCATCAGAGTTGAAAAATTAAGATGTAAACAGAGTCACTTTCAAATACCTATGAACATACCTAAAGCTCAACACAATACACATAGGTGACAGCAAAATAATCTACATTTGGTAAACATTTAACTGCTAACAATAAATCTACATTCCAAGATAAAAGTTAGCTGCTTACTAAAAAAAAGTTTTACTTTATCAAAACCATTTCTACCCTTTTACACTTGAGAATTATAAAGTAAGGGAATAGCAAGGAGATGGTCCTAATAAAATAGAAACACACACTGCCACCACCATAAGAAGAGAGAAGCAAAGCTATTTAAGGCCCTTAAAAGGACATAGTCAACCCCCCAGGCCTAATATGTCCTGTTTGAATTAACATAGTGGTTTAATTAAAAACTAAGCAGAGAATTCTGCTTAATTTGATTTTCAATTCAAGCTCTGCATCCGCCCATGGCCAGTGGCCAATTTCCGCATCTCGGCACAATATGCAAGAAGCTGTTTGAACATCGATTGCCCAGGGGAATCCATGGGAGTAGAGTGGGGCCATATGCCATTTAGGGATACACCAGACTTAGACACAGTAAAACAGCACCAGGAGGGTGGCCACAGGAAAAAAAGGAAAAAAAAGGAAATTTTACTTAAGCATATTACAAGTTTGTCATTGCTCAAATTAGTGTGCTGAATCTACCAATTACAAAGGTTTCTAGCCTCTCTTCAGGATCACTTCAGAAACTACATGCGTCAAATGTAATCGACGAGCAAGCAGTTTTAAAGGAATATACATAAATATACATACTTATTAGCCAAATATGTTAAACATTTGAATGACTGTGATCAATCATATTAATTTCAATAAAGCAGCAAAGTTAATTCTAGTAAGTACTGTGTAAAGAACCATATATCTTAAAAAATGTTATTTAGAACTTACACAGGTAATTAACAAATGATTCTAGATTACAGAAATATACAACATGAACGGGCTCAAATGTATACTTAACACATTTAGACTTAACGACACAATATTAATAACCTTTCCAACTTTCATGTGATTGATTTTAAAACTGAAAAATATGAATATTTTAAAATGACATGCCTTGATTAGCTTAATTTTAAAACTTTCTAAACGTTTCTACGAGGATCTAGAACACATCTTATCTTCAAACAACTTTGTTTCAAAGTATGCTAGCTGTAATGCTCAAGCTGTTATTCTACTTCAGTACATGCCATTTCAAAACGGGAAACATATTTTAAAACTACCTGAGATGATAATCTGTGAGTAATAAAAGATGACTGTACTATATTCAGTTGCTTGCTTTCTGAGGCCCATATTTTATAGAATACTTAGTGATAATAAGTATTTTAGCATACTTATTAGTGATTAGTGATATTTTACAGAATACTTATTAGTCAAATGCATTTAAAGACTACCTCGAAGATAAAGGTAATTTAATAATAGCTAACATTTACTAAGTGAAGTCCTGGGCTATGTGCATTACATACATAATCACATCTCATTTAATCACCAAAATAAGACAATAAAGTAAATATCATTATTACACCCGTTTTTACAGAAAGCAACCCTGGGGTTTAGATGAAATCACCTGCCCAGGCAGTCTGACTGATGCCAAATTTTCTCAGGGTTGTAGCTTCACCATCTTCCGCTGGTCTCTCTTCCTCAATACAGTCAGACTCTCCAACTTTAAAATGACTCTTCCTCCCCTACCTTCAAGCAACAATTCCACCTCCCTCCTTCCTTTAATGGCATTAACCACCAAATTCTTTAATTTGGTTTTCTGCAGCACCTATTACAACTTCCCAAGTCGGATGAATGGCAGTTATCCAGTGCTCCACCTCATTGCTCTCTTTTTAAGTCTTCTGCTGTGTTTGGGAATTAATCGGATTCGTAGTTGCCTGTATCCTACAGTCATTCAATATTTCAGTCCCATTTGAGGTCATGAAACACAGCTGGTGACTCTCAAGTGATTTTTAGGCAACTAACATGGTCAAAGATGTGCTAAGAAAAGAGTATTAATCATGTATACAAAGACTAAATTTTTTTTTAAAATAAAGGAAATAAGTACTGTACAATCATAGGTGTGAAATATCTCTAATTACCTTCTAGGATCCCTCCTCACTGATTCTCCCTTTAACCTTAAGTCTATAAGGGGGAACAGGAGAAAAGTGACATGTCACTGGAATTTTTTGTCATTTTTTTCTTTTTTAATTCTGGAGATTGTTGCTAATTCTTCAAACAGATTTAGCCAAGTCCCTTTCCTAGTTGGTTAATTCACAAGAAGGGAAGAAACTAACTTGGAGGCAAAGAGTTTGTCCATATTATACCCTGTTATCGTAAATAACAATCTATTCAACTAGATTTTTATACAAGTATAAATTAGGTAGATAGATATTGCTTACAATGTCAAATATGAAAACATAGTTCACACCGAGCTTAATCATTTGCTTTTTGTATGTGGGACTATTACACAAGAGGTGGTGTCAGGAAGAGGGAAGAACTTGGCTTATGGAAAGCAAACATCGGCAGGCAACGTCACAGAGTCAGGTGCAGGACTGATTTGGCGCCGTGATCTACAGAACAGTGTTCTGCACTGTGTGGGGCATGTACTCCTTTGTACTCCTTTCCTTTGTGATCTGCACAAAGTCTACAATGCATATTTATCTCTAAATATACTCAAATGGTAGGTGAAAAAAATTTTCAAAAATCCTATTCTGGCTTCTTTGTTGCCTACATCATAAAACTCAAATGACCAGACAGAGGACTCCAGGCCTCCAGAATTCAACCCTGGCAAGCGGCTTGTGCACCCTCATCTCTCACCATTCTCCAGTATCTAAGTACCGGTCATTCCCTCCATTCTGTCAGAGCTCTGGGCCTTTGCTCAAGCCTGGAATGCCACACTCTAGTAAACCTCTGCTCATCTTTCAAGTACCAGCTCAAGTCCAGGTTGACTTCCCCTGTGAAGCCTGGTCAATTCCCCAGGAAAATCAAGATATCCGTTCCTTTCAGGGTTTCCCATAGGACTTCATTATATAAAAGGGCTTCAAACTGCATCTTATTTGTTTGCATTTGTCATTTCTCCCACTGTCTGACCCTTGAAGGCAGGAGCCCCATCTTTTCACCTGTGTCCCCAGCAAGCTCCTATAAATAGCATAATAACTGCTACTTAAGGAACTGGTTAATAAAACTCTGAATTCTCGATAAAATTCATTCTCTGTTGAATGAATGAATATCCATCAAAAGTTATGGTTCCAAAATTCTACAGAAATTGCCTTCTCAAGAGTCTACGATGACCTCCTTTCTTCTTGTTGTTCATTCTTGGTTTCTGTTTATTTCTGAGGCTGGAGTGCAGTGACGTGATCACAGCTCACACCACAGCTTCAACCTGCAGGCTCGAGCAATCCTCCCACCTTAGCCTTCCGAGGAGCTGGGACCACAGGTACCCATCACCACACCCAGTTGATTTTTTTATTTTTAGTACAGACAGGGTCGCACTAAACTGGTCTCGAAGTACTGGCCTCAAGCGACCCTCCTGCCTCAGCCTCCCAAAGTGCTGGGATTATAGGTGTGAGGCACTGCACCCAGACATTGACTAAATTTTAATTGCCAGTCTTAAGAATACATCATGATTTTTTAAATTCCAGTATATAAAAGCCAGTTTTCTTAATGTCAGGTTTGACTGCCAGAGTCGTTCCCTCTGATCCTTGTACATTTACTAAATGTGAAATCAGCTGTCAGTTTTCAGCTGCAGACTGTTAACGTATGGAATAACAGATAGACAACAGAAAGGGGAGCCCATGGAAATAACACTTTACTGTCACCTAAATAAGATACCCTAAGGAAAGAATAAAAGCTATTATATCAGGTTTAGCCATTACACTAAATGTATGCATACCGTAAAAGTACTCCAGGTCTAAAAGATGTCTCTCTCTCGTGGACATGCACAATAATTCATTATGCAGAATCACTGTTACTGTTAACATGTTGTTAATATTATTATTCATTTAATTTTGTATATTCCATTTAAATAATTTAAGTCTGCTTTTTCTAGTTCAACGTGAATGATATTTAATTCCTCACTTAACCAATTTAATTCCAATACTAGATTCACTTACCTTTTTCAGGCCAGCAAAGCCTTCTGATTCCAGAAAGAAAAAGGCAAAGGGCATCAATACAAATAAACAAAGGTTGGAAAAAAGGGAAGCAAGATTCCACAAACCTATAAAAAGAGTAACAAGAAAAGAAGAAAAACAAGTTAGATACTGAAATTGTGATATTAATCAAGATCTATACTTTTAAATAGTAAAAATAAAAAGTAACAAATGATCTAAACTTAGAAATCATAAAATAAATATAGTATGTATATATTTAAATTTTTTTAACATTGTAATTTGTACCTATTGGGAAAAGTCAGTATAGAAACTAACGTTTTCTTCCACGCCGTAAAATAAATTCAGTAAAAATATGACGTGTGCAGAGATCCCAAGGCACAGCCTCTTTAGACATATAGGCACCGGAATATTTAAATTAGAGCCACTAGCATTTATTGAGCCCTTAATAAATGCCAGATACTCTACAGAACATTTTACATGCATAATCCCATTTAATTTAAGCCTCATAAAAACCCTAAAAATAATAATTAGCATTTATTGAGCCCTTATGTGCCAAGCACTATTCTAAGTGATTTACAGATATTATCCAAACTCATTTACTTGCCACAGCAATCCCACGAGGCAGGTAGCATTACTGCCCCAATATGACAGAAGAGGAGCAGGCTGTGCAACTTGCCACAGCTGTAGAGCCTGCAAGTGGCAAAGCTGACTCTTAATTTCTGGGATTTTAAAAAATCACTACATCACAGAAATTTTGGTAAACAATTCCAAGTGGGAAAGAAAAAGTCAGAGACTGGCAATCTCAAGTGACCTTTTCCTTGTTGGCACAAAATGGCAAGTAAAATAATAAGAACAGATTTAGTAAAAGACAGAGCCCTGTTAGGTATGTCATTGGGAGGGTATTTGCCCAACATGTCAGATCGTAAAAAAATAAAATTTAAAACTGAGTTTCAAAATGATGGTGATAATCATTATAAAAGTTTATAAAATCAAGAGTCAAAGATAAAATTTATGTCAAGGATAAATTCAATGGACTGTCTGCAATTATAATTCAATGTTTTTGAAAGTAGCCAACTAATGCTTTTTCAACACCTTTATTTCCAAGCAGTGCTAAAAGCACTGGAGATCCAGCGACGAACACACACAACACCTCTGCTCTCAGAGCTGCTCATCTGCAGATTTGCATGCAGAGACTACCGCTGAGCTGGCAGAGAGCACAGGGAGCAGAGCTGTCCCTAACTACTGCAGTTTTGAATAAACATAAAGGTTTGTAACTGTCCTAATGCCCTTTGGAATAGCATGGAGTATAAACAAACACATTAATTTAGCACTTAATATGGGTCAGCTGGGGAGATTCACTTCCTTTAGCAGACAAGGTAATATAATAAAATCAACTCACAGTTTCTTATTCAAAAATCTACATAAATTTAACATCACTTCCTTTAGTAGACAAGGTAATATAATAAAATCAACTCACAGTTTCTTATTCAAAAATCTACATAGATTTAACAAATTTACAATGCACATTTATCTTTGTAGAAAGTAAAATGTTTTATAAATAATATCTTAACATCTTTTAGTGGAAAAACTGCAATTTGAACTATTTAAAATTTTTTAAATTTAAATAATTTTATACTTTCCAGTCTTTAAAAAAAAGCCAAACATTCTGTTTTCTTTATTCAAAAAGAGTATAATTAGAGTCAATTCTTTTATTGTGCTAATTACTGGAAGAGCATAGAGAATGATGGCTGCATGCACACAATTGAGTTCCAGGCAGACCTGGGTTCACATCCTGCTGCACTTCTATGTGACAACTTTGCTAAATCACAGGTTCTTCATCTATAAAATACGGCTAATCACAGGTCTATAGACATTGGAAAGTATTAAATGATGCACGTACAACAACTGGCACAATGCCTGTCATAAAATAAGCATTTAATGAATTTTTGCTTTTATTAAGTTACAGCACCAGAGGCTACTAGTTACAGTGCTATCAGCTCCCACACCAAACCACCGTCCTTCCTGAGACTCCAGATCAGCTCCCACACCAAACCACCGTGCTTCCTGAGACTCCAGGCTCGCTTGCTAGTTTTCCCTTTCATCTTCTTTCTACCAGGTGTATCGGCTCCTGGTTTTACTAGAAATGAGCATGTGTCCAGCAACAATCTCTCCCGCCCCCAACAGCTTATGGGTAAAGGTATACACAACTTTTAAAAATTGTATCTAAATAAATAGACCTGGATCAAAGCTGTAACTTCCAGGTCCAATTCATAACCTAAAGTGCACGGTCTTTGGCCTCTCTTTGCCTGCTCACAGCATTTTCTCTTCTTTACGGTTTCCAAGTAAGTTACTTTCAGATATGTGAGGTATAACAATAATTAGTATTATGTAAATTACATAATTATTATACTTTAGTAGGCTAGAGAACCATGGTTGTTAATCTATTGCTTTATTTAGGCATGGTGAAAGAAAGACATGACCATTTCAAATCATTTGTGTTATAAAAGATAAAGGTCAGTGTGTCAAGAATCATACTCATTTTATACAACATAGTTTTATTCCAGTTAAATATCTCACAGTCTTTTAAAAAAAAAAAACATTTTTAAAAGTTATCTACTGGCCAGGTGTGGTGGCTCACACCTGTAATCCCAGCACTTTGGGAGGCCAAGGCGGGAAGATTATGAGGTCAGGAGTTTGAGACCAGCCGGGCTAGCATGGTGAAACCCCGTCTCTACTAAAAATAAATAAATAAATAAATAAATAAATTAGCTGGGCGTGGTGGCACGCGCCTGTAGTCCCAGCTACTCAGGAGGCTGAGGCAGGAGAATTGCTTGAACCCAGCAGGCAGAGGTTGCAGTGAGCCGAGATTGCGCCACTGCACTCCAGCCTGGGCAACAGAGCAAGACTGTCTCAAAAAAAAAAAAAAAGTTATCTACTACAGGTACACCTAGTTAAAGCCGATTGCATGTTGCTTTACTGTGCTTTGCAGACACTGCGTGAAGGTTTGCGGCAATCCTGTGGTGAACAAGTCTATCAGTGCCATTTTCCAATACCAGATGCTCACTTCATTTCTCTGTGTCATATTTTGGTAATTTTTGCAATATTTCAAACTTTTTCATTATTATTACATTTGTTATGATCTGTGATCAGTGATCTTTGATGTTACTATGTTAATTGTTTGGGGGCACTGCAAACTGTGCCCATATAAGACGCCAAACTTAATCAATAAATGTTGTGTATGTTGACTGCTCCCCCAATGGGCTGTTCCCTCATCTCTCTCCTTCTCCTAGGGCCTCCCCATTCCCTGAGACACAACGATATGGAAACTAGTCCATGTAATCACCCTACAATGTCCCCTAAGTGTTCAAATGAAAGGAAGAGTCGCACATCTCTCACTTTCAATCAAAAGCTAGAAGCTTAGTGAGGAAGGCATGTCAAAAGACAAGATAGGCTGAAAGTTAGCCCTCTTGTCCCAGTTAGCCAAGTTGTGAATGCAAAGGAAAAGTTCTTAAAGGAAATTAAAGTGCTACTCCAGTGAATACACAAATGACAAGAAAGCAAAACAGCCTTACTGCGGATATGGAGAAAGGTTTTGTGCTCTGGATACATCACACCAGCCACAACATTCCCTAAAGCCACAGGCTGAGCAAGGCTGTAACTCTTCACATCTATGAAGGCTGAGGGAGGTGAGGAAGCTCCCAAAGAAAAGTTTGAAGCTACCGGAGGTTGGGTCATGAGGTTTAAGGAAAGAAGCCATCTCCATACCATAAAAGTGCTAGGTGAAGCAGCAAGTGCTAATGGAGAAGCTGCAGCAAGTGCTAATGGAGAAGCTGCAGCAAGTTCTCCAGAAGATCTGGCTAAGACCATCAATGAAAGTGGCTGCATGAAACAACAGATTTTCAAGGTAGACAAAAACAGTCTTATACCGGAAGAAGATGCCATCTAGGACTTACATAGCCAGAAAGAAGTTCAATGTCTGGCTTCAAAGCTTCAATCAACAGGCTGACTCACTTGTTAGAGGCGAATACAGAAGGTGACCTGAAGTTGAAGCTGGTGCTCAGTCACCATTCCAAAAATCCTAAAACCCTAAGAATTACCCTAAGCCCGCTCTGCCTGTGCTCTATAAACAAGAACAACAAACCTGCCCAGATGGCAGCACATCTGTTTACAGCACGGTTTACTAAATAGTGTAAGCCTACTGTTAAGACTTGCTACTCAAAAAAAAAGAAAGAAAGAAAAAGATTTTCAAAATACTACTGCTCATTGACAATGCGCCTGCTGATGGAGATGAAAGAGCCCTGGTGGAGATGTTTAAGAAGATTAATATTTTCATGCCTTAACACAACATCCATTCTGCAGCCCATGGATCAAGGAGTAATTGTGACTTTCAAGTCATATTATTTAAGATACATTCTGTAAGGCTACAGATTCCTCTGATGGACTGTGCAAAGTAAACTGAGAACTTTCTGGAAAGGATGCACTATTCTAGATGCCATTAAGAATATTTGTGGGCCGGGCGCAGTGGCTCACGCCTGTAATCCCAGCACTTTGGGAGGCCGAGGTGGGCGAATCACGAGGTCAGGAGATCAAGACCATCCTGGCGAACACGGTGAAACCCCGTCTCTACTAAAAATACAAAAAAATTAGCCAGGCATGGTGGCGGGCGCCTGTAGTCCCAGTTGCTCGGGAGGCTGAGGCACGAGAATGGCGTGGGCCCAGGAGGCGGAGGTTGCAGTGAGCCGAGATCGCGCCACTGCACTCCAGCCTGGGCGACAAAACGAGACTCCGTCTCAAAAAAAAAAAAAAAGAATATTTGTGATTCATGGGAGGTCAAAATACCAACCTCACCTGGAGTTTGGAAGAACTGATGGGTTTGAGATGTCAGTGGAGAAAGTCTCTGCAGATGTGGTAAAAATAGCAAGAGGACTGGAATTAGAGGCAGATCCTGAAGATGTGACCGAATTGCTGCAATCTCATGATAAAACTTCAATGAATGAGGAGTTGCTTCTTAGGGATGAGGAAAGAAAGTGGTTTCTTGAGATGGAATCTACCCTGATGAAGATGCTGTGAACATTGTGAAAATGACAATAAAGGACTTAGAATATCA